GAACACTTAAAATCTATTCTTTTAGCAACTTTCAAATATATAGTACATTGTTTTGTCTTATTTAACTTTTGCCAGAGGCTCATGAGTTTGCTGGAGAGCATTAGAGAGAGACAGAGAGAGAGACAGAGACAGAGCATGAGAAAACATCCTGCATTGGGAACAGTCACATCGCAATCCCTTCTCTATTTTTCCCTCCTCTTGGGATTCTGGGCATGCAGCACAAACCTGGCATGTGTCTCAAGCCTCTGGGTGTGGGACTTGAGCCACACATTCTGCCAAGTGGGATTCAGCCGCCTTAACTACCATACCACAGGTTGGTCCACAATACATTGTTATGAGCTATAGTCACCATATTGAACAGATTTTCTCTTTACTAACTGCAATTTTGTATCCTTTGACAAATCTCTCTCGAATAGATTTTGAGATGGTGATTCCTGGTGTTGAGCGTTGTTTCCTATACCTGTTGGCCATTTGTGTATCTTCCTTTGAGACATTTCTTTTCAGTTGGGTTATTTGTTTTCTTACTATTAGGCTGTTTGGGTTTCTTCTATATTTTGAATACATTATCTTATGTACGATTCACAATATTTTCTCTGAATTTGGTATCTTTTTATTCTGTTGTTTGCTTTGCTGTGCAGAAGCTTTTTAGTTCGTGGAATCAGGTTTATCTATTTTTGCTTTTGTTACCTGTGTATTTGGGAGATCTATCTATCTATCTTTGCCCATTGTCAAGAATATTTACCTCTGTTTTCTTCTGGTAATTTTAGTTTCAGGTCTTATGTTTAAGGGTTGAATCCAGTCTAGATTTTTGTATGGAATCGGACATACAGATCTAACTACATTCCTCTCTATGTAGGTATATAGTTTTCCCGACACAATTTATTAGAGAGATTGGTCTTTCTTCATTGTGTTTTTCTTGGCACCTTAAAAAATAAACTGACTGTACATATTATTTTATTACATTGGCCTATATGTTAGTGTTTGTGCTGGCACCATGATGTTTTGATGACTATAGCTTTGTAGTAGACTTTGTGATCAGGTGGTGTGCTCTATCTTTTTGCTCATGATTGCCTTGACTTTTTAGGTATTTTGTGGTTCCATATGAGTTTTAGGATTGTTTTTCTAATTCTATGACACATGTCATTTGGAATTTTGGTAGTAATCACATTGAATCTGTAGAACACTTTGGAAGTATGGAAATGAATTAGAAAATTTTTGTTCTAGGGCATGTGCACTCATCAGAGAGACAGAGAGGCAGAAAACAAGAAATCACTGCCACACGCACACCAGGGGGCTGGCCACACTGCAACAATTCCTTCTCCTCCGTTTTCCTCCTGGGATCTTGGGCACACAAACACACATGCTCGGCATGAGTTTGAAGCCACCAGGTCCAGGACTCGAACTATAGTTGGCCATGTGGGAGTCCAGCATTGTAACCACTACATCATTTGCTGGTTACAGGGATAATGGAAATTTTAACATTATTAATTTTTTAAATTAATAAGCTAGGATGTCTTTTTATTTATTTGTGTCTTCTTCAATTTTATTCATCAATGTTTTATAGTTTTTAGTTTTATAGTTTTTAGTGTACAAATCTTTGACCTCTTTGGTTAAATGAATTTTTAAACATTTTTTGATCTAGAAAGCAATCCCATTTATTATAAAACCTGAGGACAGAAGTCTGACTGCTTTTTCCTATTTCCAAAAATCCCTTCCCGAGGGCCTGAGTGAGTCATGCCCAGAAACATTGACAGACCATTTTGGCTCAGCTGATAACAAGACTCTTCCTATATCCTGTCCCTGGCATAGTATCTTTGAGATGGGTGAGTCACACCCACAGACATTAAGAGACCATTTTGACTCATCCATAACAGGACTCTTCCTACATCCTGTCCTTGAGACCATATCTTGTGACTGTACTAGCCCCCTTGTCTCTGTTAAAGTACACTCTTTACTGATCCTTTTCCCAAACAGAGGAAACCCACCAATGGCCTACAAGCCCCCTCTTTCAAATGTCCCTCCTTTTTGGGCCAGACCAATAAAAGAACTCTTTTCACTAATTCTAAACCTTGTCTCTCACTCTCAAAACCAAATAAAAGGAACCCTTGTATCTCGTCGCCCCAATAAACACATATTTACCTCTCTCCAGGTTGGTCACACATATTTGTGTTTAGAAATAATTAATTATATATAATACAGCATATATAGTAATATATATATAGTTATTATTTCTGCAGAGTTGATTATTTTTATTGATAATCCTATTTATTATAAGTAGGATTGTTTCCTTGATTTCTTTTTCAGATAGTTTGCTATTAGTGTATAGAAATGTTACTAATTTTAGAATGTTGATCTTTTATTCTGCAACTCTACTGAACTTATTAGTTCTAATGGTTTTAATGGCCTGTAACGTTCTTTTCCTATAGTTTCTTTTCTGGCTTTAAAATGAGTTTGAATATGTATTCCCTTCTCCTCAATTTTTGGAAGAATTTGAGAAGAGTTGGTTTATTTCTTGATTAAATATTTGGTAGAATTCAACCATGAGGCCATCTAACCTAGGCTTTTCTTTAATGGGACTTTTTTTTCCCCCTTTGGCTTATTTGTTTCTTTCATGAGAAAAATATATATAGAGAAAAGCACATCCAACATAATTTCATGCCATCATCTCCACCCACATCTCTTCCAGCCAACCACGATTATGGGCATGCACCCAAAGTGTACAAGGTCGTTCTCCTTTATTTTCCTCTTGGGATTTTGGGCATGCATACACCTGCCTGGTGTCTTTCTAGCTGTCAGGTCCAAGACTCAACTGTGGTTGACCATGTGGGAGTCTAGCGATGTCACTGTTATGCCATCTACTGGTCCCGTGACCCTCTTTTCGGACTTACATGACCTCTGCATCCTTCTGGATCCCTCTGACATGCTTCTGTAATTGTCCTCTATCTGCATCCTTCTCCATTGCTCAGTGTATTCCTTCCTGACCTCTGATGTTAACCTTCTGCAGAATTTTTAAAATAATTATTTATTTAATTTTATTTATTATTGTTATTATTATTTTAATTTGCTTTAGGGCATGTATGCTCACCCAAGAAAGACAGAGAGAAAGAACGGGAAAGTGAGAAAGCAAGATGTCAGGTCCGTGACTTGAACCACAGTCAGCCATGTGGGAGTCCAGCCCCTTCACCACCACATCGTCTGCTGGCCCGAGTTCTTCTTTCTTATCTCTTTTCAGGGTCTGTGTGGTCATCTCTTTGTGGAATCTAAAACCCCCTGGTGTGCTACGTCTTGCTCTGGTTCTTTCTCTTCCTACCAGGAAATTAGTTCACTGTCCTCACCTTAGTGCCCATGTTCCAAACAAAACTCCTCCAGTGGACCTACTGTGGCTCCCTTTTCTTCTCAAGGACTCATGTATGCCCCTCTACCTTTCTCCTCTGCCATCAGAGAAATACAAGGGTTGGCTGGAAGGAAGGACCAGAGTGCCCTCTTTCAGGTCAAGTCTGTTACTTTACAAAAATTCATTTGGAACTGTTAATGGACACCAAGCTGGTGCAAGGCATTTGCAATACGGGGCAGGACACACTTTGCAGTATGGTGGGGAGCTGGTCAAGTGTATGCAGAGTAAGCTGTCCTTCCTTTACAAGCTTGTGGCCTGGTTACAGGAAATGAGTAATGTGACTCATCACAACCCTGATCTTTCATCGTTTTACCCATCAACTTGAATTTGATATATATTTCCAATCTAAAACATTACCTCTGGTTTCAGGTGCGTATTATATTTATCCATTTGTTTATTTATTTATTGGAGAGGTTTTTGCTACAGGGCACGCATGCTCACCAGAAAGACAGAGAGAGAGACAGAAAGTGAGAAATCCCCCGAGGGGGAATGGCCATGCCGCAATCCCTTCTCCTCCAATCTCCTCTCAGGATCTTGGGCATGCATGCACATGCACCTGGTGTGAGTTTAAATCACTGGTTCTGGGACTTGAACTGTGATCAACTATCTTTGAGACTTGGAGATGTGGAACCTCAGTGGGCTTAGGATTCTAGGATGGTGCAGCTTAGCAGTTATGGGATGTTTGAATTCTATGTTGTCTATATATCAGTTGGTTAAAACCCTTTAGTGATTCCAGGCCATACAAATGGGAAATCCAGATTATTGCAGAGCTCCCTGCTTCATTCCACCCCAAATCAAACAGTATTATTTTGTTATTGTTGCTTTGTTTTGTTTTTTAGCTTAGATCTTTGCTACTGCTTGGCCCCAGCTGTACTTTCCAGAATATTGTAAGACTATCAGATAGAGTCTTGTAGGAGAATATGAGCAAGATTTAGAAACACCCAGAGCCTTTAGTAGTGCAGTAATGAATTTTTTTAGTCATTACTATGGTAAGGACAGAGAGATGCATGTGCTACAAAATGGAAAAACAGCTATCCAGATTCAGATTCAACAAGCTAACATTTACTGATTATCCTTGTAGTCTAGGCATTGCAAGGGTGAACAAATACTAATGATCTATAGGTATAATCTTTTTCAGCCATAGAAGTCTAATCCCAAAGAGATCAAGTCATTTCCATGGAATGCCAGGGACAAATCTGGGACCAGAGATGGGGTCTAGTGTTCTTTCCAGCTTACCTTCTTGCTAATTGAAGTAAATTTGACTGTGAATTGAAGCCCATTATTTTATGAGCATGAGTTTAGTATTGTCACATTGGGATTGACTGTGGAAATGGAGAAGAACCAGATTTATGAAAAATAACTAGCATCAGAAGAATTTTTAATGAAATTGCAGAAAAGACCCCCAAAATAAAAATGAAAACTAGAGACAGAACAAAATTTTTTCTTCTCTTGAAAAAGATTACATGCAAAGAAGATGAGAAAAGAAGGTAAAGAAAAACAAATTGTAGCGCTTTCAGTTTTAAGAACAGAAATGAGTAATTTCCTTGTGTTATTTGACCAATGGATTTTGTGAAGGTGATTTTTTTTTAATACATTTTTTTTCTCATTATGGTGCTTTGGAAGGTATTCGTTGCTCCATTGTAATATTGCTTATTTTAGAGGATTTCTCTTCAACTGAGTGGACTCTTAGTGAAAGGACATTACCAAGTTGATCTAATTCCTCAACCACTGTTTTGACAATAGTTTCTTCTGTTGAATCTAAAATGAAACATATGAAATCCAGTGATTATTTATGATAGGTTGAAAGGTATTTTTTTATGACTAGTATGCTTTATAAAAATAGGTTTTACAGGTTTTTCAATAAATAGTGATATAATACTTCATTTGAAGTTAATGCTTAGTAAGACTCTGGACTATCTTATCACTGGTTTTAGAGCAATAGATGTTTGAAAGCATACGAAGAACATGGATTAAAACAACCTAAGTATCAGGCTAGGATACTCCAGGGCAAGTAATGTAGTCTTCTTTCCAAATACCATCTTTACCTATTTTTGTGGTTTAAAGTAAAGTAGTTCCTTTTATCAAAACATTGAAACTGTGAATAATAATATATTCCAGGTAGAAAAGATGTTAGAGGATTGCTATTACTCATTTAGGTTAATTTCACAACTAGACCACATCTATTCTACAGAAATATAAAATGCAAATATTAAGAAATGTCATAATGGGGCCAGTAGTGGCTGGAGGTTGGGGTGCTGGATTCTGTGTGGCTGACTGTGAGGTTCAAATCCTGGATCCAGCAGATTGAGAATCATGCAAGGCGTATATGTGTGCATGCCTAGAATCCCAAGAGGAGACTAGAGGAGAAAGAATTGTGACTCAACCATCCTCCTGGGAGGTGATAATCCCCTCACCTCCTGTGTCTCTCTCTGGTGAGCACAGGTGCCCCAAAGCCAAAAAAAAAAAAAAAAAAAAAGTCATAATGACCCCTCCACATCCCTTCCATCACTAGATCTAAACTTAGAAACTAATTTTATTTGGTTAACAAATAAGTGACTTATTTAATACAACAGCTAGGGTTTAAAAGTTGCATAAAGTGAAAAACCTTTTATACCTTTGACTTGACTCCCAGAATTTATAGGCCTACATCCTTTTGATTTGTAACATGTAGATTTGCTGCTTCTGTGAAGAGAAAATTATTGGATTTTTTTTTCATTAATGAGATTATTATTAACTATGGATCAGGAATAGAAGTTTGATAATTCAAGTTTCAATAAGATTCAGATTCCTCTTACATGGTTAAGAAATATTAATAAGTTTTTTATGAATTCAATATGGAGAGGAAGTGAATGCTTTTGATCAGAAATGTCCTCATGACCAGATATTATCTCTTTCATTTGGCAATATGGGGAGTCCAAGGTCTCGTTCTGACTTTTCAATCAACTGGGCAATGAGTATGTCTGGAGTGCCTTCTATGTAGAAGGTGCTGGGCTAGGTGCTGTAGAAGATAGAGAGCTAAGAAAACAAGGTATACTCATGTAAAAAGTTATTTATAACATGGCATGAAAGAGTCTGAAAGTTAAGTAAAAAAAAAAAGAATGCTAAAGGAAGTGCTTTGTTCTAAGAGGGAGTAATCACGATTGGGTTCTTGTGAGACTCGGTCACAGAAGACTGAGCCTGGCCTTGGAGTATTCATGGGTGTTACTCATGGTGTGACCATGGCCAGGCATTAGTAGGAGTCACTGATTACTGAGTATCTTTTGCATGTCACTGTCACAAGCACTTTATCTACATAGCAAAGCACTATAGTTAAGAGTAGTTAAGAGGATGATTTTGGAATATCATAATTTTACCTATGAGGAAACCAGGGTTTAAAGAGGTTAAACAATGTGCTCAACTTCACTCAGTGTGATTCACCTCGAAGAGTGCAATTCTAGCTTGTTGCTCTTGGTTTATAAACTATGATTCCTCTGCAATGAAATCATTTTTAATAGGGGCTACATGAGGAGTAACTTATGAAGTAATAATAATACAGACGGAGTTATTATGAGAAATGTGCTCAGACATCAAATCACAGAAAGCATTTTTGACTTTTGCCGGAAGTACTAGAATCGCTAAATATTCTGTATGTTAGTATCTTTTATACTTTTAAATATATGAATACTTGACACACTTAGAAATTTGATTTTCAAATTTCTCTCTGTTTTCATTTTATTTTGATGCAATAACATAAATTCCCAAGGATAAATATGGGTAAGATATTGAGAGCAGAAAATCCTAGGATACAATATTGGCATATATTGCAAACCTACACGATATTTATTTTTTTCACAAACTATTACTTACCTTTCCTCTCCATCTAGTAAGTTGCAATACATTTCGATTTCTTTCTCTAAACGTATTTTGGTATCAAGCAGCTGTTCATACTCTGACTTCTGGCCTTCTGTTTCTGTTCGAAACTGCTGTAGTTGTTCTTCCATGGCCCCAATCTGATCCTGGATTTGCTGGAGTTGAATGCAGTAATTTCCTTCAGTCTCAGCCAAAGAACATTCATGGGAATGTTTCTGAAAGAAAAACAAAGTAAGGCTTGGATGTGTAAAAGAGAAACAATATGTTTATAGTTTAAACATTGTCAAGGTGGAAAGGATTATTTGTACAAGGTCTAAACATTTTCAACTGAAAAATCAACTTCAGCAAGATTTTTTTTTTTTTAAGTTGCCATAGGTGCTTATGGTTGCCAGAGAGAGAAAGAGAGAGAGAGGGAAGTCATCTCCAAGGGAAATGCCCATGCCACAAGCCCTTCTCCTCCATTCTCCTCTCAGGATTTTGGGCATGTACGCACACATACCTGGTGTGTTTTTCAAGCCACTGGGTCTGGGACTCGAACGGCACAGTTGGCCATGTGAGACCCAGCTGTCTTAACCACTATGCTACTAGCTGGCCCCACATTGGCAAGACTTTTTAAAAAAAATTTTCCTCTCCATTGAAAAAAGTTGTTTTTTAACTTTTGAGATTGATGAGCCAGAAGTAGTGTTTATGGATGGAATTCTTGATATTTACGTACTGTACTTAATATTTTTAGTTATACATAATTAGTTATAATAGAGCTATCTACATGTACTTACATGTTTAATGTATGTATTTACTTACATGTACATGTTCAATTCAATGGTGATTCCTACATACCACAGCCAGGAGGGACTGAAGTTCTATTTCCAGAGTTTGCAGATTGCGTTTCAGTTCTGTCAGCTCATTTCTGGCGGCCGTGGCTGACCCCACATCATCAGAGATCTGTTGCTGTAGTGATGCACTCTGAAGCATAATTGTCAGAAGGTTAGTGACCAGCTGGGACGTCTACAGAACAAACCTTTCTCTGTAATTTGTCCTTGACGTACCTTCTCATTAAATCTGTTCTCTGCATCTTTGCGGTTCTGCTCAGCCAAGTCCTCATACTCGGCCCTCATGTTGTTGAGCAGGACAGTCAGGTCCACTCCGGGGACTGCGTTCATCTCCACACACACATTCCCCCCTGCTACACACTGCAGGACTTCCAATTCCTACAAAAGGGATCGGTAATAAATACTCCCGGGAGGATTTTGATTGACATTCACATCCCACCATGAAATGAACCAACAGACTTGAGGAAGGAAATCAGACGTTGTACAAAGTCACTCTCAGGCTTCCTTACCTCCTTGTGATTTTTTTTAAGGTATGCCAGTTCCTCACTGAGCGTCTCACACTGTATTTCCAGATCGGTTGTACAAAGAGTCAGCTCATCCAACACTCTGCGAAGACCATTGGTGTCTGCCTCAACACTCTGGTGCAGAGCAAGTTCATTTTCATACCTTAAAGGTAATGAAGGTGCTTGAGAATTGCAATCATAGACACATGTGAAGCACAACTTTTTAGGTATTTCATATGCTGAAAGACAGGATGCTTTGTACACACTTTGGAAACTTCCAGCAATGGCAAACTGCTAAAACAGTCTGAGATACCTGCCAATGAATGAATGTTATTTTGGAGAAGTTATTTTTTCAGAGTTGAATTTTTAATCATTCAATTTACTTAACAGTTGAGAAAACATATTGCTGGACTTAAAAAAATGATGTTTATAAGGGTATATTTAAATCAGTTTCTTAGTTAATCTAGTCTGGCTTTATAAAATCATTTTGGCTTTAAAAACAAAAGATAAGTGAGCTGGTGGCACAGTGGTAATGCTCTGTGATGCTGAGCCCACCTGGAAAGGTCTGGGATTCACATCCCATGTCCTTCCTGTGCATGCTGGGGGTGTGTGTATCAAGGCTGGCTGGGGCTGAGTGTGGATTGTGCCACAAAGACTCTGTTGGGGGTGACTTTCTCTCTTCCTCTCCCTCTTTTTCTCATGGAACAAATGGATTCAACTTAAAAAAATAGGGGAACCAGCAGTTAGCGTAATGGTTATGTCGCTGGACTCCCACGTAGTCGACCGCGGTTCATGTCCCGGACCCGGTGGCTTGAAACTCACGCCGGGCGCGTGTGCATGCGTGCCCAAGATCCCGAGAGGAGAATGGAGGAGAAGGGATTGCGGCGTGACCATCCCCCCTGGGGGGTGATTTCTCACTTTCTGTCTCTATGTCTCTCTCTGTCTGTCTGGCGAGCGCATGCGCCCTACAGTGAAAATCTCTCAAAAAAAAAATAGCAAAAGATGTTTTTTAACTTAACCATAGTATTTTAACCTGTTATTATTTTCACCTACTTCAGCTTGAAGTCATCAGCAGTCAGCCTGGCATTGTCGTTTTGCAGGACGACACTGGCATTACAGGTGGTCACAGAAATGATCTAAATAGGTTAGATTGTGCATATGTTAAATATCAAAAGTCTAAAGAACTTCCGTATATGAGTGTGATTCCAAATCTTCTTGTCAATCTATGTAAGTATCATTTTCTCAATATTAAAGAAATCTGGATTTTTCAGATACTAAATGTTCTGAGTTTAAGAACCATGGGTGCATTTACTACTTTTGTTTCAAAGGTATGAGATAAATATTAGAATAATAAAGTGATTATATCTATTTCAAAACTATTTCTCTTTCATCATTCAGTTCTTCAGATTTGCATTGCCAAGCACTGCCCATAGCACCCGGAATACAGAGTGAACAAGTTTTATATCACATAACTATAAGCATATTTTACAGCTTCTCTTTTCTAGTTAAGCACACCCAAAGCCTGTAGAAAGGTATGAAAAGTCCATATTTCTTACCTGCCTTTTAAGATCTTCAATGGCTGAGAAATATCTATTACAGTTGTGATCAAATCCCCTGCAAGAGCCAGGCCCATACTTCTCATACCAGCCCTTGATCTTCTGCTCTAGGTCTGCATTTGCCTCCTCCAGAGCTCGCACATGGTCCAAGTAGGAGGCCAGGCGGTTGTTGAGGTTCTGCATGGTCACCTTCTCATTCCCAGAGAGGAGGCTGTTCTCTTTTCCAAGAAAGCCAGCATAGATGCCACTTCCCAGCCCTCCACCACCACTGCACAAGCCTCCTGCAGAAGCAATGCCCCCAAGAGTACAAGAAAAGCTGCTTCCTGTTCCCGACCCAACACACACATTCCCAGTGGCAAAGCCTACTCCTCCACCAGCACTGGAGAGCCTAACAGACCCAGCGCGTGAGCAGATCTGCCGAGATCCACCAGAAAGCCGAAAAGACATGGTGACAGCACAGGTGAGCGCCCTTTCCCAGAGAGGAGCAAAGCCAAAGAACACCTTCCACAAGGGTCAGCTCCATCGGTCTTTTATAGGATTCGGTAGTTGTTTCAATCTTGCCGGTGCCGATCTGTAGTAAAATATTACTCGCACTTTAATTGTTGTTTTTCATAATGGTGTGATTTTTAAATAGCATCCAGTCTGTAGGTTACAAGGTGCCCCAAGGATGTTTTTTATATATGAAAAAGTTGCCAGATGAAGGCTAAATCGCAGCCTCAAAGGTCAAAATTAAATATGAGTAAATGTACATCTTTTCGATCTCTGAAATAGAGATTAATTTTTTTTTTTCTTATTGAAGTCAGAGACTCAGTCTAGTGGGCTTGGGTAGTGTGAGTTTTTAAATTGATTATTTCAAAAGGAAAATTAAAAATACGGGGAGACTTCAAAAAGTCAGTGGAGCTGTGAAATTAAAGTATGAGTTTATTTTGGTGCAAAACATTGAAATCTACTCCACAGTTTTAGTGTCATATGTCTTTCCATGAATTTTTTGAAGATTCCTTATATTGAAAGTCCTGCAATTATTTGCTAACCAGTTTCACTAAAATTCATGATTATGTGGTGTTGATGGAGAATGATTTGAAATTTACTGATCTGGTCTACTAGTAGAATAGCAATGTGGCTTGCTTCTCTTAAATTATTTGTTTACTTTTATGAATTATTATTATTATTTTAAAATTTGCTATAGGGCACATGTGCTCACCAGAGAGAGATGCAGAGAGAAGAAAAGTGAGAGAGCAAGCTGCCAGGTCCCAGGCTTGAATGTGGTTGGCTATGTGCAAGTCCAGCACCTTAACTACCACACCACCTGCTGACCTCAGCTAACTTCTGATTTCTTAAATTGTTCACTCCTCTACTTCAAAATATTGTTTATGGCCTTTTAGTTTAAATTGATGTATCTAAGATATTATAAATTATCTAAAGAAGTGAGCTTCATATGGATTATTGGGGAGAAAAATATATGAAGGAGATGAGTATTTTAGTCCCTACCTAGAAAACCAACAGTTATGGCACTCTAGACAGAAGATGGGTGGTCGTAGGGAAGCAGACGCCATTCTCTGGCCTCGATAACCTGGGAAGTCACCCAGTCTTGTGCTTCACTTTTCTGCCTGGCAAATGAAGATAATAGTATCGAACCGTCTCCAGTGAGTGTCGAGCAGCTCCAATAACGAATAACTATAGACAGTCTGAAGGGCACAAATATTTTGTAAATGCTAATTATTTAGATTATTATAATAAAGTGGACATGTCAGACAGGGTCAGGTCTCTATCATTTATAATGGTACAAATTAATTGCTTAACTGATTAAAGGTTTTGTTTTGAAACAGTAATTTTTTTTTCTGTTGTGGATATTGAATACTTTGAAAAACATTCAATATTATTGCCACTAAAAGCTATAGAGTATTTGGCAGACTGGGATAAATATATATATTTTTTCTTTTGAACCAAAACTATTTAAAAGTAATAAATACGAAACTGTAATTTGGACTGTTGACTCACGTTTAGAATAGTGCATAAGTTAAAGATACAGCTCATATTATTTTGCTTATTTTGATGTGATTTGGTCAAATTTTTAATCTTTTGCCTATGTTTCCCATGAATAAAATAAGAACACAGAGTGCATTATCAGTGTAATGGTTGATAAGGCTTGAGTTTCTTAGATAAGAGGGCTTACGAGACTGCAAAGTGTTATTAACCTTATCTACCTCTCTCTAGATACTTCGTAAATACTAGTTAGCTTATCATCTTTTATGAAATAAGTTAAGCACATATGATTAGTACCATTTTGGAAATGAGTTGGCTCTGAAGCTAAATGGCAACATAGATCACAAAGCATTTTTATATCAAAGCAGCACTGGAGTGTAAGATGCTTAACTATTTCTTGAGATGCTGTTACCTATTTACTCACATGGGCAAGTCTCTTAAATTTTTTTAATCACAGATTTCCTTTAAACTAATACTTACTTTAGACATTTAAGTATGCATTAGTCCTTTCTTGAAGTAGGGCATAGAGTCATTAAATTCTTTAGGCTTCTTCTTTCTATATATTTCTTTCCCAAAAGTGATTATTTCATTCATGGTAGGACACTGGTATTCAGCACAGCCCAGCAGTGGTGGTGCAATGGTAGCACACATGCCCTGCAAGACTGGAAGCCATATGACAACTGTGGGTTTGGTTTCCTGGGTCAGCCTGAAAATAGACCGCGCAGTGTGCAGGCACCTAGGACCCTGGGAGCTGGTGGGCTTCAGAAAGGTGATAGCAGTGTGATGAGATTGTGCGTCTCTCTCTCTTGTGCATGCACTATCATGAAAACAAAAACTAAAACAAAAAAATTGGTATTTAGCAATATATCATTTATTATTTATTGAGATACTACTAGACATAAAAGTTATATAATATATAGTGTAAGTATTCCAAAAAATAGACTTGAATTAAACTTCAGGTTATCAGTGTTAATGTCTCCTTATTTCAAGAAAAACTTTTTTTTTTTGAGAGTTCTTTTTTCGCTATAGGGCATGTGCGCTCGCTAGACAGACAGAGAGAGACATAGAGACAGAAAGCAAGAAATCACCCCCCCAGGGGGGATGAAGATAAACTTTTTTATTCATTATCTTATTCTAACATCCATATGCCAGTTTCCCACATGATACACTTATTGTTTGGTTTCAAGTATGCTGTTCTGGAAAATTCACATTCTTGGGCCAGACAGTGGCACAGTGGTAATGCAACTAGACCTACATGGGAAGGTCCTGGTTCACACCCAAGGGTGTGCTTATGTGTAATCTGTACTGGTTGAGGCTGGGATGGGTCAAGGTGAGAGGACCCTATTAGGGATGCCTTTCCTCTGTCTTTCTCTTTGATGGAATAAATAAATAAATAAATAAATAACTTTAAAATTGACATGCTACATCCCTCTTAACCGTTTTGAACACTATTTTTCTCGAAGATGAATGAGGTTTGTTTTGCCATTAGATTCCTAGTTTTTTTCTTCTTATTTTTAGATTCCTAGCCTTTTTCTAAGAATTAGATTCTGGTGTGATAATTATTTCCTTGGTTTGGGTTTTATTTCTTTTCTTGCTAGAAGAAAAGGTGGAGTTAGAGGTTCTTACTAGCGTGGCATCATGTCATAGTTAAGCACACAGACTCTGAGCCAGACTGGCTGTATTAGCATTCCAGTATTTCCACTGTGTGAATTTGGGAAAATTACTCAATCACTCTCTGCCTGGGGTTTTCTACCTGTAAAGTGCAGATGTTAATAGTACCTACCTCACAGGGTTGTTGTGAAGATTAAATGATACTTAGAACAGACCTGGCATACAGCAAGTGCTGGTTATCAATTATTATTGCCTCTCTTCTGGAAGTTATGTTAAAAAGCCCTGAATATAACTCCTCAGTCTCTCACCCTGGTTCTAGTACAAAGAATTCATTCCTTAAGTTATGATGAATTTGTGGTTAGACATCTCAAATACTAATTAATACCAAATTTGAGCTTAATTAAAAAAATTAATTAATTTTTTTATTGCCAGAGGGTTGTAGGCTTGAGAGAGAGAGAGAGAGAGAGAGAGAGAAAGGAAGAGGGAGAGCACTCTCCAATGGGGCAAAGTCATGCTGCAGCCCCTCCTACATTTCTCCGTTCTGTTGGGATTTGGGGCATGCATTCAAATGCTTGGTGTGTTTTTCAAGGCTCCAGGGCCAGGATTTGAACCATAGTTGGCCATGTGAGATCTGACTCCCTGAACCACTAGGCCACAGAACCAGCCCTTAAAATCTTTTTAAAGAATTATTTTATTCCAAATGATATAGTGATTGAATGTCTAAAAAATAATGAGAATAAATAATAATAATCTGAAAAAATGATGAAAAGCTATTTGTTGATGATGTGTGTAGTAATGTCTTTGCCTTGACTGATATGCATGGTAATCATGCTGGAAAAAGAAATGCAATACACTGTAAAGATATATGTGATTCAATGTAATATAAAACAGATTATGATAATAGTAAATGAAATAAAAACAGAGTAACAAAAATCATTTTATTATTTTATTTTGATCAGAGAGGGACAGAGTGAAAGAGAGAGAGAGAGAGAGAGAGAGAGAGAGAGAGAGAGAGGGAGAGAGAAAGTGAGAAAGCAAGCTGCTAGGTCCAGGACTCGAACTGGTGGTTGGCCATGTGGGAGCCCAGTGCCCTTAACTATCACACCACCTGCTGGCCCCCAATTTTTTTTTTTTTTTATAATTTAAAAAGGATTTTCTTAGAGCAGTTGTAAGTTGAATTTGAAAAGAAGGTATTTTAGAAGGTTCTTTCTTCTCCAAAGGGTGGGTTGAACTGAGATACAGAGAGTTGAAAAAGGGCACTGATGTCATATTGTTTATTGGCTGAGTTCAGGGGGAGCTCATAGAGCTCTAGCAGCTTCCTTCCTCTTGGAGCTTGTAATGAGCATAAAGAGCACTTACAGAGTGCTTTCTCCGTCTTGGAGCTCACGGTGCAAGGAGTTGGGTTGAGCTGAGCTGAGCCAAGACCACCAGGTCTGAGCTAGCAGAACCAAGGCTGAGCTGAGTAGGGCTAGCTAGCTAGTTGACCAGGTGCTATTTTTTTTCTTAAAGGGGCTACAGATAATAGTGGCTCATTGCCAAAACCAAACTGTCACGCACACACACATGCACTATATGCAATGGTATAAAACAGCAAAGTCATAATTACTAACAAGTGTACAAGCACACTGTAATTAATAACATAAGTTGTTTATCCTGTGGCCTTCAAACATATGATAGGAAGTAAGGGAGTCAGACTAAACTGTCCTGACTCCCTTTTCCCTATAGAAGATTCAGAGATTTCTCTGTACCTATCCCTGACCTCCTCATGTGCAAAGCCTCCCCCATTATCAACATTCCCCACCAGAGAGGTACACTTGTTACAGCTGGTGAACGTAGACTGACATGTCATACCACCTGAAATCCATGGCTTACATGAGGCTTTGCTCTATGGATCTGGGCAAAAGCATAATGACATGTATCTACCCTTACAGTTTTAAATATTTTCACTACCTTAAAAATCCTGTGTTCTACCTTGTCATCCCACCTCGCAAGCTTTGACATGCAGTGATCTTTTAAACTGTCTCAAGGGTTTTGCCTTTCCAGCGTGTCATATAGTTGGAATCATACAGTATGTAGCCTTTTCAGATTGGTTTCTTTTATTTAGTAATACACACTTCAGGTTTCTGGAAGTCTTTTCATGGTCTGATAGCTCATTTATTTTTAGCATGGAATTATGTTCTATTGTTTAGCTGGACCATAGCTTACATATCCAGTCACCTACTAAAGGATATCTTGGTTACCTTCAAGTTTTGAAAATTATGAATAAAGTTTTTATAAATGTCGGCATGCATTTATTTTTGGGGTGGACTTTAGTTTTTGGCTATAAAAGATGCAGTGATTACTGGCTTGATGGTAATAGTGTTTCAATTTATAAGAAACTGTCAAAATGTCTTCTAAAGAGGTCATAAGTAAATACTTTTGATTAAGCAACCCCATGGTAGGAAGCTTTTTTCTGATTCTGTAAGGATACGTGATATAGGATGGGGTAATCAGAAGTTAAGTGGGAAGATACATGTTTGCTGCACGTTCACCTAGGTATTATTAAATGCATGTGGGAAAGAGAGGAAGGAAGATAGCTTGAAAGTGATGCGATTCAACTCTCTGAACCAGTTTTGCAGTTTAGTGATATGGTACTTGTTTCAAAGAAAAGTAGACTGTTTCTGTTATGAGGTTGCTGTGTGGGACCCAAATTTTCTCACCTTCAAATAAACCTTTGGAGGATTTCTGCTGAATTTGCATCCTCTCCCACCCCTATGAAGCTTTGAATCACAGATTAGAAAAATAGATGCATCAATAATAAGTACTAAATATCATTTCACTGAAAGTTAAATTTGACTTGAGAGACACATTGCTCTACAGCCTTGGATGGCGTAAGTAGAGCACTTGAGAATCCCCATCCTAACGGAAAGAGATGATGATCATGATGAAGTAGAGCCAATGGAATTCTTCATTTACCCTGGCCCCCACATTCCTCTTTTCCCTTCCCAGTGGACACTATAGTTAAAATGAAAAGATTGATCAGAACCAGGACAGATGACTTGCAACAGGAAGAACTTTTATTGAAACATCACCATAGAGAAAGCCAAAGAAATGTTGCTATTCTAGGAATAGCTTGTCTAAAAGCACTGGAAGAAAAGCAGAAAATTAAGAGAGCCCTTGTTAGGAATCTAGTTTCAATTTGATTTTTAACTTAGGTCTGGTCATTCGTTCTGGGGGACTGGAGTTCAGGAAGGCACCCTCTGCTCACTCTTATTGTTGACTTTGGTGGATTTCTCTTCCACGGTGTGAACTCTAGATGAGAGAACTTTGCCACGGGGATCAATTTCTTCAACAACTGTTTTAACAATGGCAGTTTTAGAGGAATCTAAAACGACAAGTATGAAATGTTAGAATTTATCACTTCATAAATGGTAATTAGCTCATCATTTGAAACACATATAAATACACATTGACTGATTAATATGTCTTTTGTTTACCTTTTATCTGATTTCCTGGTCCTCCATAACCTTTTGATTTAGAACAAGAGCTGTGAAAAATATAGGGAGTTTGCATTAATGATTTCACTCTGTGTGAACATAATTTAAGATGGGAGTTCACTGAATTCTGAAATAACACTAGAAGGGGTTTCATCTACACATGATCAGGATTATAGATACTCTGTACTTGATTTCAAGCACTCTTTCACAATCATCCAGTAAATTTTCTCGATGGAAGAAGTACTTACTCATTCTCTCCATCTATCAGGTGGCAGTAGGTCTCAATTTCCTTTTCCAGGTGGATCTTGGCATCGAGAAGCTGTTCGTACTCAAGTTTCTGGCCCTCGGTCTCAGTTCTGACCTGGTGCAGCTGCTCCTCCAGGGCCCCGATCTGAGCCTGGATCTGGGCCAGCTGCGTGCAGTAGTTGCCCTCGGTCTCTGTCAGGGAGCACTCCAGGGAGTGTTTCTATGGTTTGGTAAGACACAATTTAGTAGAAAATGACCCAATGTTGTTTCCGAGTAAGCCAAAGCAGTTATGAGAAAATTAAGGGTATTATCCTTACATGATGCAATACTCATATTCATCCAGAAGATTCCATTTGTTTAATATGCACTGTTGCTTTTATTAGATGGCATACTCTTTTTCTATTTGAGAATGGTCATTGGTGGTGAATGTTACTCACATGTCCAGGAGTGTTAGAAAAGATGAAATTGTTTTTTTCACGGGGCACAGTCTCAAGATACTCCCTGTTCCCCACAGAACCTATGCTTTTTAGAGTCTGGAATAACTTGCCTCTTCCCCAGGAACAAAACCCTTCTACTCTTTGTTGCTCTGTTCCCAATCATGGGACAGCCTCGTCTCAAGAGGACTGTTAGTTCCTCTATTAAAAAATAATCCTGTAGTCAATGCATAAACTTTCCATAAGTAGAATGAATCAAAGAAAAGAATCACCTAGCTTTGTGAATCTACATGGGCTTCTCTAGATACACATATGCTGCAGTTTTACATGGGACGAAGAGGAGCATCTCTTACCCTTTCATCTGCAAGTATTTTTTAATACAAAGTCTTGATTTTATATACATTCATAGCCTCTGCTGTGAATGAACTCGGATGAATTCTTCCTTTTAGAAATAATGACATCAGTTCTAGAGTCTGCCCTGTCCACACTCTGGGGCTATTGTGGACTCACATGTAGGAGAAAGTGGGGGGTAGACCTTGAACGAAGAAGGTGATCCTCATTAAGCATGTTTAGCGTCATGTCTTTTGACTTGAGGGTAAAAATTGTTTTCTTTTTTGAGTATCATATTTGCTAACTTGAACTGCTTCATAATGATTAGCACCTGGGGTAATTTTCAGGTAAAGAGGATTTTGTGTGTGTGTGTGCAATGTGCAAATGTGTCTTACATCAGGCATAGTCAAGAATGCATAAAAACTGAAATAAGTAATACTATATGGAAGAAAAAATTTAAATTTTTTAGCAATTTCAAATTTCAGATTCTCTAGCGAATCTTTTCTGCCCCTTTTGCTTACCATGGCTAAAAGGGACTGCAGTTCGATCTCCAGGGTTTGAAGTGTACGTTTCATCTCAGTCAGTTCGTTTCGAGCTGAGGTGGTGGCGCCAGCATCATCAGAGATCTGTTGTTGCAGCGAAGCGCTCTGAAACGCCAGGAGCCGGGGTGAGCGTGATATTCTTTGTTTTGCACCCAGTGCCAGGTAGGGGCGCCCTAGCGTGGTCTTTACCTTTTCGTTGAACCAGGCCTCCGCATCCCTGCGGTTCTGCTCAGCAAGGGCCTCGTACTCTGATCGCATGTTGTTCAGCAGAACCGTGAGGTCCACCCCGGGCGCGGCGTTCATCTCCACGTTGACGTTGCCTCCAGCCGCGCATTGCAGAGCCTTCATCTCCTGAAAGGGAGTGCATGAGAAAGAAAGAGCACATTAAGTAAAAATTTTCACGATCAAACAAACAAAAACACCCAACTGAATAGCTCTAAAGAAGCTGGACCAACAGGATCCATATGCCTAGAAACTTTTGGGGCAGTTAATTGCTTTTCAGAGAGATGAATGGAAACATTTCAGCCATGGAAAGCATACAAGAAATGGACAGTTCCACCTTGAATGTTGATTTAAGATACTGTATTTACAATCTGAAATTAATGTTCAATTTCGAGGGAGGAGGCACATTGTGAAAAGACAGAGAGGTGGAGCAGCTACCTCCTCGTGATTCTTCTTGAGGTAAGCCAGCTCCTCGCTCAGGGTTTCCAGCTGGATCTCCAGGTCGGTTCTGCACAAGGTCAGCTCATCCAGGACTCTGCGCAAACCATTGATGTCTGCGTCCACGCTCTGGTGAAGGGCCAGTTCATTTTCAAACCTTAGAAAATTATTTACAAGTTTCATCGTTATCCATTAGTCAAATCACTTTTTATTTTCACAGCATCATAAAACTCAAACTGAGCTTTGAGATACAACTATTAAAATAAGACTTAAAACTGTAGTTGGATCACTCATAGGACACCAAATACATTTCTTCAAAGCAAGAGAATGAAAATAGCCAAAATTCTCTTTCATACAATATTGACATTCATTTGTGCTAGTCTCCAAATTTCCCAAATAAAAGGTCTTTTTCTAGTCCCTCTAGTATGCATTTTGCTTCAAACAAATAAATGAACAAACAAAAGCAAAGGATTGAGCTGACATCGAAGAGCCTAAATAAAAGAGGGGACTGCTTCGACAACTCTTTCCTCCTCCTCAGTTCTACTTACTTCAGTCTGAAGTCATCAGCCGTTAGTCTCGCATTATCGTTTTGTAGGACAACATTGGCATTGCTTGTAGTTGCAGAAATTATCTGAGAAATGGAATGTTAAGAAAAGGAAAATGGATTTTTTTTTTAAAAACTTCAGATTTCCTTGAAATAAAGTTACCCATGAAATTATAGTAATATTTCACACAACTGTCTCTAATAATAAGATGATTCTTTTGAAAGTGGAAAATTTTAAAATGGCCTCTTATTCTCCACTCCACTCTTAGGAAAAACAACCAACCAATCAATGGACAAAAAACTCTCTCTATGGACAAGCTTATAAATATATTGCTGGAAACATTGAATATTTTTTGCTATGTTGGTAACCTAAAGCATGCATATGTACCTGATACCAGGTGATGGCTGAGGCATGTTCAAAGATTATGATTTTAATATAAATTATTTTTTATCATTGATAACCAAGTTTTAGAAGCTGACAGCAAAGCCTTGCTTATTGTGATAACTTGTGCATTTGTTTGTGTGTGGCTAAATACGCTCACATATGTTAATATATATGTTAATACTCACGACTGTTTCTTACCTGGGTCCGAAGATCATCGATTATTGGAAAATATCTGCTATAATCATGATCAAGACCACGGCAAGAACCAGGTCCAAATTTCTCATACCACCCCTTGATCTTCTGCTCCAAGTCAGCGTTGGCCTCCTCTAGTGCTCGAACATTCTCTAAGTAGGAGGCCAGTCGGTCATTGAGGTTCTGCATGGTCACTTTCTCATTGCCAGAGAGAAGGCCGTGCTCATTCCCGGTGAAGGCAGCACATGAAGCACTTCCCCCAGCCAGTCCCCCGCCATAGCTTCCTGCAGATGAACTGCTCCCAAAGGAACAAGAGAAGCCACTTCCAATGCCTGGCACACCGCACACATTTCCAGCCCCAAAGCCCGCTCCCCCGCTGGAAAGCCTCACAGAGCCGGGTCCCCCGCAAGAGCCAAGCCGGCGGGATGCGGAAGAAAAGCGTGTGGACATAATATCCAGACGGGAGGGTTTGTTCCTGGAGTGATGCTCTGGTGGCAAAAGTCCTACTGAAATGGTTTAGTTTGTCTTTATATACACATCACTTGGGTGTTCCTTGATGAACTTTGCTACTCATAGCAAAATGGTGTTTGCCAGCTCATTGTGAGTTATCCATAATTGGGTTATTATTATCATTTTAATGAATGTCTTTACCCCACTGTGTCCATTTCTGTAGGTGGATAGTTACCTTGAGGATATTTGTTATCTCTGGGATGGGACAGGGTGGAGTATTATCAAGATTGTTACAGTGATACAAATTTAGTATGAGTAACCCTTCTTGTCTTCCAGCCTTCGGAAATATAAAATTCCTGTATAAGTAAAAAAGCATGATAGACACATTTATTTCCCTTGCCCAAATCAAGAACATTACATTTTCTCCAGCAAATGAAGAATCATAGTTTCCTATAATTTAAAGACCATGGGCCCATGGTATCAGAGAAAGAAGGCCAGATACTTGATAAAAATTGAAGAATTAAATGGGATCTTCCTTGTAGACAAAGAGTCTTCCCTTGACCCTTATCCTTGCTTAATTATCATTTCATCTTTACTGGTTTTCTGTCTAAGCTGTGTCGCCTACTGGGTAAAGTAGGAAATTGGTTAACCTTGTGAACCTCACTTTCCTCATCTGTAAATGAAGAGACTAGATTATGGCCTCTATAGTTCTTATCTCTAGAGTTCTCATATTTTCACAATTTTTTCCTTTTACTGTCTATTTCTAGAATTCTTTTTACCTTCTTTTTAGATTCTTGTCATAGGGCTCATGTACTCTCTGGAGAAAGCCAGAGAGACAGAGAGAGGGGGGAAGTGAGAAATCACCCCTCAGGTGGGATGACCATGCCACAGCCTCCTTTCAGGATTCTGGACACACATGCACACTCAGAGTGTTTTTCAGGTCATTGGGTGGAGACTTGAACTGAAGAGTTGGCCTTGTGGGATCCAGTGCCTTAACCACCAAACCACCTGCTGACCCTCTAGAATACTTTCATGCATTTACTTCTTCCACCTTTCATCTCTTACTCATTGCTGAATTTTGAGCTCTCCACTTAATTGAGATTAATCTCTCAAAGGTCACCAATCACTGCATATCTCTGATGCAAACATTGTTTCTTATGTTTATTTCCTATACCCTCTTGACTGTATTTGGTATTGAGCACCTTAGTCTGATTGAGTTTCAGAAAATTGCCTCCTGAGAATTTTTCTCCATCTCTGGTTGCTGACCTTTTGTCCTCACATTTTTTTTTTGTGCTGCAGTTTTGTCATTTCTAGTAGTTCCTTAGAGTTTTGTGCTTAGCATTTAAGTCTCATCTTGGTGTAGGTCTTACCTAGCGGTATGTCCATTCTTCTAATGTTCTTCTCCCCTTTTTTCATTTTTAAACTTTTGTTCATGTTGTCCTCTGTACCTGGTTGGTATGTTTTCTTCTTAAAATTAAACATTATCTGAGGTCTTGCCTTTGCCAAGAACAACTGATACCACTTTCTATGATGTAGATGGAAAATTAAGATGATAAAAATGTAATTTTTTTTATGACCTACCAAATGGGTTTACAGAAAAAGCCAGAAAATTTTGTCAATCAAAAAAAATTACATTATCAGGCCCAGCAGGTGGCATAATGGTTAGGGCATTGGAATCTCACAGGGTTGAGTTCCAGACCTGGCAGCTTGAAAGTCATACCAGACATGTGTGGGTGTGTGCCCAAAATCCCAAGAAGGGAATGGAGAAGAGATTGCGGTGTGGCCATCCCCTCTGGGGGATGATTTCTCACTTTCCCCCTTCTTTTTCTCTTTCTTCTTCAGTAAGTACATGTGCCCTATGACAAAACAAACAAACAAACAAATGAAACTACAAAGTGACATTATTAAAACTTTGCAATTTATTATATTTAAAATTTATGATACCAAAATATTTATTTTACAGTTTAAGTTTATTTTGTTATATTTATAACTATTGTTATATTTATAACTATTGTTATATTTATAACTATTATCTCTTGTACATGTTAGAAGTAATAAGATACTTTTAAAGGAAAAAGATTTATATCTTAGAATATCTAACAACTTTTTTCTGACTTTTGAGCAAAGGACCCACAATTTCATTTTGTACTGGATCCTGCAAATTATGTAACCCCCAATTGTTGGTTCCTTCTCTGGGGAAGCTGAAAAGTCTTTAAAGAAAAGATCCTTAGTTTTATGGATGTTTGATTGTGCTCCACAAAAGTTAGCTTATCACACAGTCTCCTGAAATATAGATACCCACATACAGTGTCACCAATATTTAAAGCCTTACTCTTGAAAATGAACAGAATTTAAAAGCTGATCCTACATTGAAAAACACTCCAACATAAAAGGCAGAGGCTCAAAGAAACAAATAAAAAATAACATTCAGGGAAAATAGACATAATAAAAGAAGTTTAAAAAACTTAAAAAAGAAAATATCTATAATTACTGATTTTAAAAGTTACAAAAACCGTGCATATTCAAAACATGGATAGACTATCATTAAAATTGAACAGGAAGCATAAGACTTAAGAAAGAGCTCTTACAATTAAAAATTAACTTCCAGAATAAAACTTCAATAGATGAGCTAGAAATCAAACTAAAAAAACTCCCCAAAAGTAAAACAGAAGTATAAAAAATGGGCCACTTCCGTGGTGTAGTGATAATGCGCTGCTCAAGAGAAGCCACATCCCACGTGGTGACTGTGGATCAAATCTTTTTCCCAGTCAGGCTGAAATGTGCAGGATGTGCATGCCCCTGGTCTGACAGGCTGGAGGGTGCATATCTTTCTCTTTCACTCTCATGTGTACACATGCTCTATTATGAATAAAGAAAAAAGATGAAAAAGATAGATAAAAAGTCAGAAAATTAGAGGCTTGGTCTGAGAAGAACAGCATTAGGTAGGTGTCACGAAAAGAGAGAAGGAAGAAATGATGAGGTACTTACTTTAAAAACAGTCTAAAAGAATTAGTCAGAACTGAAAGACAGATACTAAATGCAAAGAGACCACCAAGAGCCATGAACCATAAATAGAAAATGATCACAGTGAGGTATGTCCACAGACTATTTCAGAGAACGATGGAGAAAAAGAGAACACTAAAAATGTCAGGAGGGAAAAACAATATATATCCAAAGATAAGGCTCTGTGATTCCAGTGAAGAATGCTTTCAAAATTCGAACCCCAAATTACATCCAACCTTAATTTCTCCACTTTGATAATCACTAATGAAGGAGGAATAAAAATATTTTCAGACAGGAAAGTTTGCAAAAAATTTACATCCTCTATAAACTTTGACAGGAAGATACTGGAGAGAAAAACAAAAAACGAAAGCTTAGAATCCAGGAAATGGAGTTCCATTGTGAGTATATTGAGTGAATGTCCCCAGATGACAGATGGAGAGTAGGCTTAAACAACAAAGAGGCCATATGGACTAGGAGGATGGAGGATTCTTTCAGTGAATTCTTTAGGGAGTATAGATGGAAGTGATTGTTTTATGGTTTTAATCATGTATGGGAGACTAAGATACATAGGAAGCCAGATTAATTAAAAAAATTACTGTTTGCATATGGAAGAAAACATTGCCCAAGGAAACATAAAGTATACCAGCTGACATAACAATGAACATTATTTACTTAGTCATAATGATGGAAAAACTGAATATTGAGGGGCCAGTAGGTGGTGTAGTGGTTAAGGCACTGGACTCCCATGTGGTGACTAGGATTCGAGTCCTAGACCTGGTAGCTTGAAACTCACATTGGGTGTGTGTTCGTATGTGCCCCAAACCTGAGAAGAGAATAGAATAGGAGGGATTGGGGCATGCATCCTCCCTGGGGGGTCATTTCTCACTTTCTGTCTCTATCTCTCTGTCTCTCCAGCAAGCACACATACTCTATAGCAAAAAGTCTCTTTAAAAAAAAATAAGGTAAATATTGATACAACTGAATATTATGGTATAGCTCTATCAGAGGAGAAGGTGGTAAAAGCCAAATTCTCAACTTTCTTTTAAGAGGGCAATACATAATGTCTAAAATTGAAAAATCAATATAGAATAAAACATAGTATTTTAGAATATGAAGACAACAAAAAATAACTGAGAGTTTTAAGTGGTTGCCTGTGGAATGGACTTGAGGTGAAAAGAGGTAGGGAACAAGAGACTGCTGTTTTGTGTCTTTTACCACAATTTGACCTTCTTTTTTTTTTTTTTTTTTTCCAATTTGACTTTTAAAGCACGGTACACTTAGTACTTTAATAAAAAGCAAAAAATTAATTAAAAAATAACCAAGAAGTCCCAAATGTACATCAGAACTTTCACTGTAATATTTACAAATAAATTTGGTACAAAATCCAGTTTATAAAAAGATACTCTGATATTTCCACTTTAAGGATTTAAACAAGATAATTTGAAATGTCCTTCCACTGTAAAACAGCCTAGTGCTGGATAAAATTACAGTTAATGTCTTTATAAATTCATTGCTAAGCTCAAAATAAAATAAAATAATTCCTTTTTTTTTTAAAACAAAGTAACAAAAATAAGAAAGCTAAAATATGAGTGGTGAGTGAATACAGAACCTTGAACTTTCCTGGAAATATGTTCAAACAGAAATAAATTTTCTGGCTAAGAGCATCACTGAGAAATAAGATTTGGACCTGACCAAAAATCAAAGCTAAACTTGGAATCTTGCTTACAGCTATACAGTCCTAAACCTGTTTTGAAGTAGATCAGCTTAAGGGTTAGCAAAACTGCAGCTATTTTGAAATGAAGACCTCTAACAAGAACCATCTGACCAAATGCTGAGTCATAGGGAGATTTTTTTGAGGTATGGTCAGATGAGAAACCAGGAATGAGTATTTGAAGGAATCAGGATAATTATTCAGGAGAAAGCGATTGATTCTGATTGATTGTGGTGAGGAATGATTTGCACATGCTTGTATCTTATACCTATATATACAGAGAACA